GCATCTATTGTGCTTCAACTTGGGCTTCGGCATTTGTTATATCTTCCATTCTAGCCTGTAAACCTGGAAAATCATAGTTCAACGACAAACGTTGCGAAGGTAAAAAGGATAGCTGTATTAAGGCTGATGTCGAACGGCATGCAACGATGGGTGATGAAGCTGGGAATTTTTCAACTTGTTTGACTATTGTATTGCGACACTTTGGAAACAGCTCTTGAATTTTAATAAATAACGCTGAAGTAGTGTTATTTTCTCACTGCCCAACCTGTGTTCCAGTGCGAAGCTTTGAATTTGCTGCAATTTTAGCCCATTCTCTTTTGACTACGGATTGAAACGGCGCAATGGCACCATCCCGCAGCTTATAATCACCTATGGGACAATTTAAGCAGGCAACGGCTCCATGGTATTCGACACAGTATCCTACGGATATCTGCAGGTGTCCGAACTGGCCTCTGTTCAGCTCTGCCTGGTGATGCGGTTCTGCATCCATGCACTGCAGGTGCTAAAATACCATGGAGCCGTGGCGTGTTTAAATGGTTCCCTTGGCGACTAGGAGCAAGGAGACGGTGCTATTGCGTCGCTTCAACCTGGTATCAAAAGAGGAAGCGTTAAATTTTAGCGGCGGTATCAATAGCTAGTTGTATGTAGTAAATCCATAAGATCAGGTTTAATTTTATGCACTAGTGATACATGTTACCTATTAAGCTTCGTCCATAGTGCTCATCAATCATTTTTTACATGTAGTTCTGCAACAAAACCAGATGATAACTGAGACTCTTGTCTAGCGCAGTGCTGCAATATTAAAATGTATTGGTATAGCAATTTTCAATTGGATGTTCGTGAACATCTGAGAGGCGAGAGGCTCCAAAGTTCCGCAAATTAAAATTAGTCGAACGATTTGTGAATATCATAGTTCGTTCTTAATCTTTCACGACGACCGTTTATTGAGATTAAATATACTTGTTCGACATATGCATCTGTTATAATGTGCATTGAAAAGTTTCCATTCATTATTTAAATTATGGAAAAGTATTATCGAATTATTCAGTGTCAGTGACGAATGACATGAAATGAACAAATGTTGCATGACTGATCGTATCCTTAGACTTCAAAGGAGTTCGTAAATCATGAGAGAAGGGCACGTCAATTTTTGTAGTTTATTTAAAGCTTGCAGTTAGATCACAGTCAATAGATCAGTATGCTTCACACAAACTCTTCCTTGGTCGAATCGTAGATTGTAGTCAGAGATTAACGTAGGTGTTTGCGTGCCATCAGAAATATGATACACTGTATTTTCCTTACATGTTGTTTATGATGGAAACTGGCAACATTCATACGATCAGCCACGTTACGCGCAACAGCACCATGAAAGCCATTTGAGAGGCAATCTAGCATCCTGAAAGAACTTCGCGTTAAAATTAGCAAATTGTCCGACGACTACTGACAGGGCCAAGCCAACCTACCACTTTACCTGACCCTGCTTGTGATGTACATTAACATTAGAGATTTATCCAGAGCAAAGTGCATTTACATCTCAAAGGACTTGCAGTACCAATGGAGTGATATTCTAGCATTGAAAGGAACCCATTTAGAAAACGAAGGTTGTCAATCAAGGATCAACGGATATGTAGATGTGTTTGAACGATTCTTGGTCTGGTCACTAAACGACATGGTAAAAGAATTATTGCCAACGTGTCCTGCTGCAGAGACCGCAGCATCATCAGGACTGGACTAGAAACAAATGGCTATTTGAAGGCACTTATGACCAGAAAACGTGAGCATCTTCATTATTTCCCGTTAGTCACCCACATTAAAGCAAATCAGTTGTTAAACAGCTTGATCGGAATGTTAGCCAACGAACAAAATGCTAAGATCACGTCAAAATGCAATTAGATCCCTTATGTTAACTCGATCTTGCATATCAAATTCGTGAAATTCGTGATTGCATCCATGTTATCACTAATAACCACGGAACAAATGTATTCGTTTCACATCTAAATGTTTTTTGGCCAGTATATACAGGAACTCCTTCATCAATAGATTTATTTTCTAATGGACTTTCTCGGTGACAGACACAATGCTATGGCTGAAAGAGTGCCCTTCGAAGATGGCATGCTGGACAATACCGAAACTGTCAGCCTGCCCAAGGCTAACCGCAGATAGGTGCTCATTGATCCGGATGTTCAATTTCAGGTAGGCCTTTCCAATGTACACCATATCGCAGTGTCTGCATTTGATTCTCTATACACGTTTAACGCTTTTTCTGGGTTAATGCACATGTATTTCTTGAACAAAACGCTGTCCAATTTTTGCCATTATTGTAGTACACCATAAACCTAGTGTCAAAAACGGTCTATTTGAATAATGGGAATGAAATGGAAAAATAAACTACCGGTTTCTTTCAAAGTTATCATAAACCTACTAAAGGCTTCTTCAATCACTGATGTATTATAGTTGGCACAGTCTATAACATAGAGTTCGAAGTAAATTCATTAGCTTGTAATAAAATTTTCGGTTCAAAATTAATTCTTCAGTTTGGATATAACCTCAGTGTACAGCCGCTACTTCTCCAGATTGAGAAGTCACAGTTGCGATGGTTTGACCATGAGTTGCAAATGCCTCCAGAAAGGAAGACTAAGCAACTGTTTCTTCCCTATCTGACTGGCAGAAGGCTCAGGGGACGGCTAAGATTAACCCGGTACACGTATAAGGAAGGAGTCTGTTCCAGACTCCAGGTGTCTTCTGCTGATGCTCAGACTCTTGCGCAGGATCGGGAACGTTGTAAGCACTGTCTGATGCGTCTGCCTTCGCGATCCTAAAGGAGAAACGGCCATAGAAGATGAAGATGAAGGTAGGATATAAATTATTTCCCTGCGTGGCAACGTTTGTCTAAATAACCTGAACATAAGAAAACTTTTTTGCAGAAGACGAAGGACAGAACTTGGAAAAGGGACACAGCTATCAATTTGGTGCATTGTAAGTGAGGTGAAAATATGCAGCAGTCCCATCATCGTTGGATCTTGCAAGCATGTCAGATCAATACAGATCTGAGATGCCTCGTTATCTCGGTTTTGCCTTACTGGGTATCAGTGCTATGCTTTATAACAACACCAAAGTACGGCTATACAGAGTTTGTACTTTGGCAGCAGTTTCGGATGGAGGAAAAAAATAGAAGTTGCAACTGATTTCATTATCCTTCAGGCTTTTCATGTAAGAAGCCATAAACGGCTCTCCAACATCACGTTGAATGATATCGTCAAAAACATAATTGTTTTCAACTGAAGAATTAATGCAAACAACGGAATATTCTACCGCAGCAGAAGCGCTTCGTCGTGTTCAGAGACTGCATACCTATAGTCCTGCACAGAGTATCAATGGCTGTGAACATTCTCAGTACAACCCTACCATCGTTAGCTTAGAAACAGCTTTCTAGAGCTGGTTCAAGGCCGCCAATGCTTGAAACCAATCCATTCACCTTACAATCTTCACGCAGATCATGCATGAATAATGGTGTCATTCGAGACAGCAATGTGCCATTATTGCAATGCTCGTATACTATACGATGTAGTGAGGCTAAGTTGCAAATTTGAGGTCATTTACTATTTGTCACAGCATAGAAAGCTAGATAATACCAAACGTGTCGCATCAAATCCGTTTATTCATCAATAGTCAAAACTGTTATGGACATAAGATGTTTGATTGCCGTCGCTTCGGTAAGTATCTTCGATCTTGTCATGATGCATTTCAATTTCGGCACCTAATTTCAGTGTACTGAAGGATGTGCACCTGACTTTCGGAATACTGGGCCGTCACCTTTACAAAGTCCTGCGGGATTTGGGTAGGCAGTTGTAATAATATGGCTATGACCAATCGTGGTGACCGCCACAGGGCAATTTTTATAACTGAATTTGCACTTCCTTTCGCCACGCCTTAGCAGAAAACAGAGCGTGTATGTTGCCATTTCAAATTCTGGGCTGGCGCCGATCAGGAAACTGCCAGTTGGTTTAACTGCCTTGCCAACCGTGTAACGGACAGAACAAACAGCATCCTAGAAGTGTCAGCATGCTGAACACGTTACAGATGTCAAATTCACTCACCCGTCGCTTGACCACAAAGCCAAGGTAGTTTATCCTTTTAGACTTTTCTAGCTGGTAAAACCGAACCCAGTCATGAAGACCTTCCACTTTGTTTTGGCCGACCTCTCCGCCAAATACATGTTCAAACGCGCAGCTATTGATGTTTTTCGACTTTCTGGAATACGGTGTAAACCAAAGCTGGCGTAAACTCTCCTTGAACTGGTCAAGAGACATAGTTGATGGATATTCTGAAACAAGGTAAGGCACGAAATTTATCTCCGACTTTTTCATTCCCACTTAGTTGATGTAAGAATTGGTATGCGCGACGCATTACAGACGTTTTCATGATTTCGTCAAGGAAGTCGTTGATTGCTGCCCGTTTCACGGCGGTGTTCGTTTCTGTCTCGTTCAGGTACGGATTGTACAAGCTGACCAATGTGCTTAGCTTTTGGTATGTTGGTCGACGCAGTATCTTGTCGTTCACATATTCAAACAACCTAAATTAATAAACACCACCGTTTCAAAATGTTCGGATACCTAACCGTCTGAAGCTTACGGTAATGGCGCCACGTCCTTGTTAGTGTTCACCGCATGACTCTGGTAGTTGACTCGTAAGTCTCTACTTTTAGCGCCGTCCAAATCGATCGTTTCCAATTCTTGTATCAACGACGCCAACTCTCGGTCGTCAACATGCTTAACCTGCGCTAGTGGCAGAACAACGAACAAAACGATTAACAGCTGAAGCATGGCGCTTTCCCGTCTCTGAATATAATTGTGTACAGAGCAGCCACGCCAACTGTTTGAATGCTTGTAGAACATTGACTAAGTTCTCACCCAAGACATCACCGATAAATCGCCACTCTGGTTACAGCTATAAATCACGAGATTGCTATTTTCATTACCTTAGGCAACTTTTTCAACAGACGACGCTTGCATTTGTTCCCGGTAATGAGCACAGCCTGTTGAATTCCCAGACGCACCTATCCGCCTATAACAGAGCGTTCTCGTAGTAACGGTCGCCGTTCAGTCGACGCATTCTAAACAAACAACACCAACGCAAGGTCGCGGTGCAATCCGTTGCTTGCACTGTCAGCTGTAACTTTAAAGCTATGCTGTATTGCCAGTTCGGTATTATTTCACCATGTGAGCCAGTAGGCGATTTCAGCCATCAGAACAAGAACCAATGTCGGTACAAGTCATTGCCTGCATCGACAGTCCAATCAACGTGGTTGCTTCAAGGACTCACAAACCGGTCAATGATTCATTGTGCACATTAAATTGCCTCTGTCGCTTTTGATAATTGTAAACCTGCATATTAGTTCAAGTTCTGATCAGATTACTGAATCTGTAGAAATTTTGCTCAGCATCTGTCATTGCGAATATCTAGAAGCACCTGTTGACACATTTCTTACGTTAAGTTACCAGCTATTGACAATTTACTGATATTTGATTACGACGGTGTCCGGTGTTGATTTTCTTCCACAGTCAGAACCAGTTGCCGTGCCTGAAGTCCAAAATCAAAACTTGTAACGCATCGGGTGGGAGGGAGTGGAGTGAGGAGAACACGAACAGCCGTCGCGCAGTTCTCGAACGGCAATAAAAAATGAACTTTTTTCAAAGAAAATGACCAAATAAAGGCATCAGCATTTTCACGGTTCTATTGCTTCCCTATTAACTGATGGCGTTTCGTTCTATTTTGTCAGCAGAAAGTTTCCTGTGCGAATGTTCTTTATGCTCTTCAAGGAGGGCATGTGGAGCGTATAATTTGACATTAGACAGCAGAACGAAACGTACTCGCTTGATTCCAGCAGGTGATATGTGTACGTGGCATGCGATGTTTTTTGCTGTTCGTTTATGCAGACAAATGCTGGACGTCGCCATACTTCGCTTGTTTATTTGCGCCATCCTGTCTTTTGCTTGCAACACAAATACCTGCGGTCTGTAACGTACCGTCAGAGTTTAACAGTCGGGATTCAGTATGGAGGAGGCAGGCAGGAGCAGGTATCGATCTTAATTCATCATCATTTACCTTTAGTACTGCAAGGACAAATTATTGACAATTGGCTTTCTCGTTACCTTTTCGCTGCTTAAGAACCCTGACAAAACTCTCAAAATTAAGTGACGACATCTCTGTACTGATGAGAATAGTCCCAAATCTTTCGAGGGCTCTTGAATTCTCAAAAGTTGCATTTATGAACCTCATGCATGACCGGCTTCGGAAATAGATCGATGGAGTTTGCTCCAGACGCGACGTTTCGATCGTTTTTGATGGTATCATTTGATCAACTATTTCGTTACCGCCGATTTTGGTAATACGGGAAATTATCATTAACACTCTTCGTGGTTTTATAAAAATACTCAGTAAGCCAGCAAATGTCACTGGTGGCGGACGACACCAACATCCTGAAAGCAGAGTCGAACTATTTTTCTCCACGGGTGGATTTGTAACTTCATTTGTCGCCGCGGATGATACGATCTCCTAAGCATTTTTAGATCACTCGGAGAATGTGAGCCGATCAGTTCAATTGGTTATACAGAATAATATCCAAATATCCCACAGTGTTACTGGATAGTGGGGTTCTCTCTCCATAATGACTGGATGGCTAACTAAAGCGAGCGATTTCTCAAATCTCTTGTGAGAGCTTATTATTCTGGCGCTACTCTCCCCATAATTAACAAAATTCACGACAAAACAGACTCAGAATCATCATGTCACAACTGTGATCGGATTTTCCCCAGCAAGGGTACCTTACAAGCGAAACTAACTCCAACCAGATTTTTGGAAAACTTCATTCATCGCCTTGAATTAACATCGTTCAAACTGGCTTATCGCATGAAAAGAACCGAAAACCAGAAATATGAAATTAACACAATGCCTTAGCAAAATCTGCAACAAAGGTATGGTTAAAGAATTAGCCAGAAAATAAGCTTGTCTGTGACTGTACGAAACGGCTGCCAGATTTTCCTTCATTCAGAGAAAACTGTATTTCAATTAGCCAACAGGCAAGCACGAATAATCAGGTGGACGAATTCTGCGAAAATTATTTTAAAAGACTTGTTATTGGTCGTTTCAAATTTTTTACTACCAAAAATGTAGTTTAAATTTGTTGCGTATCCTTCAAACCGATCACAGTCAAGAATAAGGAATTCACATTATAACTTGGCATATGACAGGTTCTCTGTGCACGTTTGGTTTCTGCATGCTGTAATTCTTGGTTATAAAAATAGTACTCTTCATCGAATGTACATCGCTAATTGCGTGCGACAAAACGAAATCGATGTGAAGCGGCTGATTTATACGAAATGAATAAATGATTTCTATAATCACAAAAAGTATACTAATGGCGAATAAATTTGCATTTTCATTACGTGACGGCAACTTCCACTTCGTTATTACTGCTTAAGGCAGTTATCTGGTACCTTACGACCTCTGCCGAACCGTATGTGGTAACCTGGTCGTTTTCGAACAATGAAGTTACTACGCAACTGAAATACTTTTCGCTTGTAGCTGAAAGTGTAGAATTAATCTCGTTTTAGTCAGGTGTTTGCGAACGCTTTTTTACATGACAGATCCACAATAGTCTAGAAACTGTTGTCACGTACGTGTCACCAGATGTGTGTACTCTATTATTCGAAGATGATATAAACTGTTTCTGCTACTGCTTGTAGTCATCTGTCACTCACCTTCACGATATGCCTTTAGTGTTGTCTCTAGCAACATGAATTCAAGAATGAGTGACATCGATCATTGCTGCTGACTTTAGGTGCTGATTAGACATAGACACAATGGCTAGTAGTGAGAAAACATTTTATTACCATTAACTTGTGTGACCAGTGGCTTTGTTAAACGATGCTGATCTAATGCCACTCTTAACAGACGGGTAAGATGTATCTCTGCGATGCAATGGTTTTCTGAAATAGAATTATTCTTTTCACTATGAAACAGTTATTGATAATTGGCTTTTGCATGTTTCAGCCTGTCTTATCGACCTCAATCATGAGACTTTCTACTGGGTATCGAGTAATTTAATGGACGAAAATGCATAGTTATGCAACTGCAAACGAAATTTTCATCTCTCGCATGTTGCGTGAGTCAAACGGGTTTAAACCTCCCCTAAATTCATTAACAGAGTTTTGAACGCTCTTAAATGAAACAACCCTAAAAATAATGGCAAAGACACAGCTGTCTTTGCAAAACTGAAACATACTATATGATATTGGCAAACTCTTGAATGGTCTGATGTGAAAGAAGGCATTATAGTATAAGCCCGATGATGCTCCAATTCAATGTTGGTACAAAGTGATAGTCGATCTTAAAAATACTTTTCATTTTTATAACCAACGTTTCATGGACAAAATAATCATCTTACAATAAAAGCGAAGGAACTCCGCTGCGTTTACAAACGGCGGACACAGTGATCTCAAACCTGTAGCAACGTCAAAAGAGACTACACAGAAGTCATACAGCATATGTTTAAAGCTGTTATATCAGCTAGGTGGTCACAACGGTTGCCACTGTTGCTAAGGGCCGCGCACGCTGTCCGAGAATTGAGGCAGACTGCGGAAGGATGGTGAACAAAATATGCTTCACACCTTCTGGCACCTGGAAGCCTGGCAAACCGGCGACGACTGCTGAAGATCGACAAAAATTCCTTAAGGATACAAGTCAGCTACGGAGCCGTTACCCGTTCTGAACAAAGTTAGGAGACATTTTAGCCAATAAGATAAGGTTCCACGAGAGCGGAGGCCCACAGTAAGAGATTGGGACATCTCACTCAGAAGGAAATAGCAGGAAATTTTTGATTAAACCGCAAGATACTTATTGGACATCGATATTCGGCAAAGAAACGCCAGTGCTCTGGAATTTTGAACCTTTGCGGGTGAAAACTATTTTACACAGGTGTCAGTTCGACGACCTGCGATTACCATATGTCGGTGTTTGGCATAACTCAACCTGGATGACAGAATCATTGAGTGGAAACCTAAGCTTGTCTGCGGAAGAGTAGTAATTCTCAGACTGAAGTTACAATGGGCGAAAGCTTCCACCTCGTTACAAGTCTATGCGCTCAATTAAGAAGGACAGTGTAAGTTATTATTCCTGGAGGAGATGGGGTGTCCTGTGTGAAGTACCGACCTCAGAGTCTCTCATTCTAATGAGTGATTTTAATGCGCATGTCGGAGCAGACACTGAAAATTGTAAAGGCGTGATCAGAAAAAAAGACCCCAACGACCTCGATAATGACGGCATGAAGGTTTTGCGGTTTTATGCAAACAGTGGACTGTCTATCATGAATACCTTCTTCGAGCATCGAAACGTGCACCAGTGTACCTGGAAAACGGAAACTTGTGCCTAGAAGTCGATGATCAATTTGGCCATCGTATCGTCTAACTAATAACGCTGTGCGATAAATGTTCGCGTGAAGAGAGTCGTAAAGCTGTCAACCGATCATTACCTTGTTGTTGGCCACCTCGACTGCAAACGATGGAGTAACATGCTAAAGCCTTGTGGCAGAAACAACAAAAACATCAAATGGGAAATAGTCTTTTGCGGATACGAAGGGGAAGCTTGCAAACGACATCGCAGACGCTTTGGACAGAGTTCAGTGATGAAGGCTGACTGAGAACCGAGATCTACCGCAGAACGTTACAGTTTAAAGGAAATCGAATGACCACCTGGGGAAAAGAAGGAATTTCCTAGTGGATATCAGACGTTCAGCTGACTGCTAATCAGAAGAACGCATTCAAGA